ACGGACTATCTATCAGTTTCAAACTTTCTCCGCGACGCCTATTCTGGAGTATCTTGATTCGCGTCGAAAAGTGTACCCTTACGTTCCCCTAAAGTTAGGTACTTCGCTTCCTCTGAAGGTGCATATCAACTACTACTACACATGGATGTCAAATGCGAGTCTTTGCAATCAATCCATTAGCGAGACTTCGCCTTCTTGATCAGTTTTACTGCCACGCGGAACTGTTCCAATTTATCAAAACTCTTCAAGTCAACTAGCAAAACTCTACCTTGTGCCATTACACATCAGTACTTTACCTCAACCAAAAAGAAGTTTCGTTGTTGTTGGGATTGGTGATTGAACGCCCAATTGTCTTCTCCCATCGAAACTTCGATAGATAGACCTTGCAAAAACTCACTTTCCATTCATCACTCAACTCGTAACTGAAACGCTCAAACTCCCCACTAACATCCCGCAGGGTCTCACCCATACAACGGTCACTCCCCTCGATCTAGTAAAATGTCGTCGCCAAGTCGATTCCAAGATGTACACCGGCAACTTCCAAGCCTGGGGTAAAATCTTCCGAGCCGAAGGTTTCCGCGGCATCATGACAGGATGGGGTCCAACATTTTTCGGTTACTCCGCTCAAGGGGCCTTCAAATACGGTGGTTATGAATACTTCAAGAAATTCTACGCTGACCTCGCCGGTCCTGACCATGCATACAAGTACAAAACATGGCTTTACCTATCTGCCAGCGCGTCCGCAGAGTTTATTGCGGATGTGGCACTTTGTCCTTTCGAGGCCGTGAAGGTTAGGATGCAAACTACCGTTCCACCCTTTGCAAAAGGTACTTCAGATGGTCTTTCAAAGATCATATCGAAAGAAGGCTATGCCGGATTATACAAGGGCTTGTATCCTCTCTGGGGACGACAGATCCCGTATACCATGATGAAATTCGCATCTTTTGAGACAATTGTAGAAATGATTTACGATCGCCTTCCAGGTCAAAAATCAGACTATGGTAAAGCTGCTCAGACAGGTGTTTCGTTCACTGGTGGTTACTTGGCCGGTATTCTTTGCGCAATTGTTTCACATCCTGCCGACGTTATGGTGAGTCCCTTTGTTCCCACTAATCTCTCTATAATTCTTTACTCATACGCGATGTTCAGGTTTCCAAGTTAAACGCAACCCGACTTCCCGGTGAAGCATTTGGTGCTGCTACCGGACGTATCTACAAAGATATTGGATTCCGTGGTCTCTGGAATGGTCTTCCCGTTCGTATTGTTATGATTGGTACCCTGACTGGTTTGCAATGGATGATCTATGTAAGTTTCCCCATATCAATTTTGTCGTGGCTATTGTTAACGGTGCTATAGGATTACTTCAAGATTTTTATGGGACTGCCTACTACAGGTGGAGCTGCGCCTGTTGAGAAAGTAGGTAAGTAAGGTAATGGATAATCGGAGACGATCTGGAAGGCTAGAGATCAGGAGATCAGACTGTGTATCTGATCGTGTACAATTGTAATTCAATGAGCAACTATTTTCCCAAAGCCCCTCTGGAGAATTGAATCATAATGAGTGAGTCCGTTTGTGATGGAAGTAATGAGGTGACAGATACACGTGTACTTCATGATTGGGACTTAATTACTTGACGATACTGGTAATCTCTTCTGTTATGGATGTTGAGGTCCTATTCTGATTCCTCCCGTCAGATATTCTCCCCTTGGGAGTGTGATTGACTCCTCGAGCTGAACCAGGAGTTAAGATCAGATATAAAATTATTGTTATATGATAGATTTTAAGCTGGATCTACGAAGAAATAGATTTGGCGATTATCATGATACTGGGAGGATGAAGAGAAGTACCGGTATGCTCAATCCACGATATTTTAATCCAATAAATAAATGTTGATCAAAAAAGTTAAGACTATTTTGCACAATATTCACTATGCTCGGATGAGTCGGTTCGGCTGAAAATTCCGACGCACTTAGACTTCCCCACTCCCGCGCATCGTGTCCCGCGTGTCTACTACTGTACCAGTTCGGCAGTTTGAATGATTTCGTAAGTTCATTACGCAGTGGCGATGTCATGTTTCGATTTAGCGCGTGTATCAGCGGGGCTACTTTTAGTGGCTAATGTTTGCCGGTAACCACGGAAAGCATGTTCTTACCTCCTTTCTCGATCGCACCCTGCGAAATATTCATCACGTATAATTTACAGCAAAGTTAGCAAGAGATGGATCGTCATAATGAAGCAGTTTCTATCATTGCCTCGTCAGTTAAGCAATTTTATGAACGGAAAGAGGCATTCAGGTTATACCATGGTTCAACGAACAGTACACGAGACTCTAACCGTCGTAGAGACCGTATGATTGATACAAGCAAACTAGATCGGGTACTCAAGGTAGATACCGAGAAAAGAACGGTTCTTGTCGAACCAAATGTACCAATGGATAGCCTCGTCGCAGAAACTCTTCGATATGGCCTGGTACCTCCAGTGGTTATGGAATTCCCGGGTATCACTACTGGAGGAGGCTTTGCTGGTACTTCTGGAGAGAGTAGCTCTTTCAAATATGGGTTCTTTGATCGCACTGTCAACTGGATCGAGATGGTTCTTGCAAATGGCGAGATCGTGTCGGCTTCCAAAGATGTGAATTCGGATCTCTTCTATGGAGCTGCATCGTCTTTTGGAACATTAGGAGTTACCACTTTGATTGAGCTGCAGCTAATCGAAGCCAAAACATATGTTGAGTTGACATATATAAATATACAAAGCATGGCTCAAGGAATACAAAAGATCGAGGAAATCTCCAAGGACCCAAATGTTGACTACCTTGATGGAATTTTGTTCAGTAAAGAGGCTGGTGTCATCTGTTCTGGACGCTTGGTTGATGAGATTACCCCCAATACCCAAGTTCAGCGTTTCACGAGAAATTCAGATCCTTGGCTTTATCTCCATGCAAAGCAGCTGCATGATAAGAGCTCCGGATCAGTCACAGAAGTGATACCCCTTGTTGATTACCTGTTTAGATACGATCGAGGCGGTTTTTGGGTTGCTAGATATGCCTTCAGGTGAAAGAAAATCATTTTCAAGATTGGCCTAACACTGACTTCTGCTAGATACTTCATTACTCCTTTCAACCGTATTACGCGCCGTCTACTCGACTACTTCATGCATACGCGAGTGATGTATCACGCATTACATCAAAGCGGGCTTTCAAAGAAGTATATAATTCAGGATGTGGCGATTCCGTATTCACATAGCGCCGAGTTCGTCGAATATCTAGACAAAGATTTTGGCCAGTGGCCCATTTGGCTGTGTCCACTGCGTCAAAGCGGGATATCCAGCGATTCACCGCTTGGTCTTCTCGCCGAAAGGAAAGAAAATTCATCTACTCCTAACATGTTGCTCAACTTTGGGGTCTGGGGACCAGGACCAAATAATCGTGATGCTTTCATATCATGGAACCGGAAATTCGAACACAAGGTTCGAGAGTTGGGTGGCCAGAAGTGGCTGTATGCTCATGCCTATTATACCGAGAAGGAATTCGATGAGATTTATGATCGCAAGGAGTACGACGCTCTTCGTGTCAAGTATCATGCCACACACCTTCCCAGTATCTACGATAAAGTCAAAGTTGATGTAGATTCGGAGCAAAAGAAATTGCAGGCATCGTGGAGTTTGTGGCTGCTGGCGATTTTCTGGAGCATCTGGCCATTGAGTGGGCTATACGGAGTATACAAGGCCTTTTTGGGCGGAGATTATCTTTTGCCCAAAGTTCAAGCATCGAGCAGAACGCGAAAGCCCAAAGAATAGGCTGAAGTGATGCCTGGTAATTCAATGACTCAATGTACTATATAGTATTCAAAAGTTTCGTGCATGACCAACTTTTACTTTCATTACATTTTTGACTCGAACGCTTGATTTGAAGCTTTACTTTGAGTAGAAATGCAAGCTTATTTTGAGATTAAAGATTGAGATTATCCCACAATTTACAAACGCTCCGTATCTCAGTTTATCCTCTCGATGGATTTTGATTCTTAAAATTGGTACAAATCTCGACTCTCTACGGTTGTTTCATGTAGATTTTGAAAGGACGCTCCTCGTTAAATTTCATATTCTAGATATCTAATGCTAGCGGATACATCTTCATTGGACCCTGGACTTGAATATCTGGACTTAAGGTTCCACCTAAGTAGATACTCGTTCAGTAACCCAATGAGTTTTAAATTTCACTCTCTTCATGTATCGTAGTAGTCTTTCAAAAATTCAAGGGTTTGGGAAGGAGGAATGGGAGGGTGTTGTTTCGCTTTATTAACTATAATGGATATAACGATCAGAGACTCTATATGTTAAAGACTTGGTCTAGCTCTATCGAATTAGGAGAAGAGGTGGTGGACCATCAAAATTGGGTGGAGAGAAGTAATGATGTATAAAAATGTCATTGGCTTATTATGTGGTTGAGTTTAGAGCTCTTTTTGATTTTGATATATATATATATATATTGTTGAAAGCTGTTAGTATTATTGTTCAAGGCTAGTATCAGGCTAGTATTAGGTTAGTGATAGAGTTTTTTCTGATTTGTGTTTGTGTTTGTAGGTTTGAAATAGTAGAGATTGCTATTCATTCAGGGGTAGAACTCTGTTGTTTGGGTATATGCTATAATTCAGTAAAAGCTGAGGGTATAGATGATAGAGAATATGGATGTGGATGAGATTAGCGTTTTGGATAGTCTAGTCTCAGATGTGAAGATTTGGAAGTGAAGCTAGAGCTCAAGAATAGAAATCTACTTTGAAATTGGATGAAATTATTAGATGAGAAGACGAATATAATATGTTTGAGTCTGTACACTGAGAGTGAATTTTATTTATGTATTATCGTCTCAAGTAACGAGGCTACCATCACAGCCTTCTGTGATCAAAACTTTCCTACTCACATCTCAAAAAATTCAAGCAACAAAAAGAACAACAATAACGATACTCCTTCTCTTCATTGCCCCGCCACTCGATTCGCATAAAATGCAAGCCACCACCCAATCCGAAAGCGTTCCTACGGAGAAGCGACCGCTGACAAAGAGAGGGAAGAGAAATCTCGCAGTAAGTTGTGCTTTCCCATCGTTTTTGCATATATGTATTTGCGCTTGATTTTTTTTTTGCGAGGCTGGGGCTAATATATCTCGCAGAAACAATTGAAGAAGAAAGAAGAGAGAATTGCCGCAAAGAATGAGAATCGGAGAGAGAAGAGAAAGAAGCAGAAGCAGCAGTTGGAGTCGGCGAAAAGAGAGAAGAGGGAGAGAGAAGTGTTGACGGAGGGGTTAGGAACGTTGGCGATGGAGGAGAAGAAAGTGAAGATGAGTGGAGCTATGTTTGAGGGATATCGGGAGCAAAGGGCGGTTGATGATGAGGATGAGGAGGATGAGGATGATTAGGATGGAGATGGAGATGGAGATGAGGAAGATAAATACAAAGACATGTAAGGAATCACAATGGATGTATGCTTAAATGGTGAAACGAGTGTGTTTTTATTACTGATTTGTGCATCAGACCTAATGAATGAATTTCCCCAAGTCGTCTAAACCTTGAATGAACGATAGAAAACGCCAGCAGCGCGTATGCAATGTATTCGTATTGAAGAGCGACCAAGAAGCTCAAAATACATAAAACCCATGTACTCCTACTCGCTCAAACCATTTCCCATTCTGCATAAATATCTCGCGGAGATAAATAAACAAGATCCGTCGACTCCGTGCATTTTCCCCCACCATCAGTCACAATCCAACTCCTGTGTTGAAACTGCAAGTGTTGCATTGAGCGAGAAATCCGGTACTTCCGCAGCGAGGGCATTTGTCTGTTTCTTTTTTGTTGCGGGGAGTTGCGGGGGTTTTTCGACCTGGTTTCGCTGGCTCTTCCTTGGAGTCTGCTGGATTTGTTTTGGGTTCTGCCTTTGCTTGTTCCGCTTTGGCTGGCTGAGATTGAGACTGGCCTTTGGTGGATACCTCCTGGAACTTCATCTTGCGTGATGGTGAACTCAGGTTGATAGAGATAGAGAAAGTGGTAGATAGGGTGTGGTGCGCTGTGGGTTCTGATACTGGATGGCAGTTATGCACACGCTATGTGAACGCCTGTAACTTGTGTAGTTGATCGATATGGGGATGTTTTGTGATGTTGCAAGAGGGACAGAGAAGACGACAAAACTGTGTGCCATTTTGTAGTTACTTCAAGCAGTCACAGACGCTGCTCTGGTAGTTTTCTGACTGAATTATTGTGTACTGTGCATGCAGTAATCCGGTACGGTAGTGTGAAGAAAAATCTGAGATGATTCGACGAGTCGAGGTACATGATTGGAAAGCATAAAAATCGGCTGTAGGAGTTGATTCTCTGACGCGAATAGAATGCGAATTCAAGGCGCATTAACTTTGATCAAAACATACAGAGATAAAGGTGGAACGAAGCTGGAGATCAAAGTATGGTCAAACCTGCCTTCTTTGAGATGTACGGCATCATGACTCGGTGCTGTAGCAGCTTTGTTTTTTTTGGAACGGAGACTCAGTCATTATGAAAAGGTGAGCCTTGATACAAATCCTCAACGTGCAAGTCATTCGATGCTGCGTGTCTGTTGTCATCCCATCCCCTTCGCTTAAGAACCTAGCTCCACAATTATCAAGTACCACTCCACTTTCAGAATAAATGCTCAAAAATATAAAAAATATATATAGCAGAGGCACTGCGGTAGTCAGGGATATATTCAAAGTCAAGTTAACTAATTGACAAAATCATCCTCATGAGAGGTGGCGTTGTACTAAGACATTCCAAGGTTGGATTCGAAGCTCAAGAACACTGGAGTTTGCACGCATAAATTTAGCAGAACAATAATTTATAATATTGCATCAGAGAGAGGGACTTGACAATAAAAGAGAATTTGCTAAGAAGATAAATTCATAATCTTGGGAGAAGGTACATAAATCGTTGAGTGTTTGATGAGAATAAGTTCCGAACGACCTGCCTAACCTCGAGATATCACTTCCACGGTGGAAAGTCCTTAACAAAGCTGACAATCCCTCCTTTACGGCGAGATAAATGTGACTATTGAGTTCTTCTTTGAATCATGAGTAAATTGTATTGAAACAGAATATTGCTTTCTCTTGGATAATTGATTTCTTTGTAAGGTGGATGTCAAAATACTCCCAACCATATCGTCGCCCTTCTGAACTCCCAGATAAGTAGATACAAAGGGTATCCATAGCTGATTAATAACAAATATAACCTCGTGCTTCATGCGCGCCATCATTCTGGCCTTTGGTGTTGGTGGACCCTTACCATTCTTTGGTCTCAATAAGTGGGGCTTCGCCAATGAAAAACTATACTATATATTTCCAAACACTTCGCTAACCTCCATCAATTTAATGAAAACAAAGTAGTCTGGCAGTATTGGTGAGCCGGTCGCCTTCATCTGTGCTTGGATGTTTGTTACCGAGTGGTGCCCTGTTAGACGAGTTTGATGGAAAGTTGTAACATTAGGGCTTCGGCCTGAAGTTTTGTATTTTTTTGTCTGTCTTTCTTTCCCTTCAGTTTTATCTCTTCCAAGTTCTTGCAAGAGTTATCTTTTTTTTTTGGTTGCGATGGCTGTGACGGTTGTGGATCTTGGTAAGCGAATGATATAAATTTTGCAATGCCGTTGACTTAATTATTAGTGGTGCGGTCCACTTTGGTCGAGGGAATATTCACTTCACGCGGCCGCGCGACCCAAAAATCGATTCGCAAATCACGTTAACATAAGGTGAAATCAGAATTGCGAGATGAAATGTATTGAATTTTCACTCAAAGCCATGCGTTATGATGTAAGTTTGCCATATAGGAAATCTAAACCAGTATGCGAGAGATTCTAAAGGTGCAGTCTGCCTCTCAAACTCCCAAGCCCCAAACTACCATCACTTCTTCGCATTTCCACGACCAATTCCTTTACCAATTCCTTTGCTACTTCCTTCGCCTGTCTCAGCCTCGTACTTTGGCTCAAACTATCACGGACAATGGATTAGTTTGAATTCCATGGATTCAAAATGGGGAACGTACGATAGATGTCTTGCGGAGCACTTTGGTAGTACGCTTTGTAACAGCTTTGTGATCGGAGTCGACCTGAAGCATGCGATTGGCTGCCTTAATTTCCTGACTTTGACGGTCCAACTCAGCCTGGGCGACACGGTCGGCTTCGTTCTCTTCAGCTCTCTCCTTTTCTGCTCGCTTGGTATCTTCGATTTCCTCCAAACGCTCCCGCTCCTCGCTCTCAGGCTATAGATAATTAGAGCTAGATGTGCAACGGAGATCAGAAATATACTTACGGACAATCTTGACGAATAATCATTGACACCAAGAGGTTTAAGATAGCTATAATCCTTGGCCGGCTGAGGCTCGGGGGAAGGAGAGCGATTCATGAGACGCGAAGGATACTTGACAGGGGCACGGCGAATGGTGTTTCCGTATTCATCCTCATCATCGGAAGGCATAAGACCTGACATGGTGGATGAAGGGATGATGTTGGTTGAGATTAGAATTGATGAGTGCGTGATGAGATGCAAGTACTGCGATAGCTCGCGATTGTTGAAGGGAGGTAGAATGATGGAGGATGGTGTTTTTTCAAAAAAAGAAAAAGAAGCAAGAGGAAAAGAGGCGGTGCTCTTATAGACAGTCTCTCAGACCTGGAGATTCACTGAAAGCTTAGAGTACGGTTCTATGTGGGAATCTACTCAACCGAAAGGGTAGTCATTCACTCCTGCTATCTCCTTATGCACGAGTAGATGGATTGTTATGATAGGATTATGGCTTGTACCGGAATCGGGCTGAGGGGTTCATCCAGATTGATTCTTTATTTTCTGCAAGTTGCGGCACAGAATCGTTCGATTTGCGGCTCGAAGTAAGTAGAAAACTTGCTCATGGACGAGTAGATGATATAATCTAATTGGGGAACAGCTGTAAATTGGGTGAATTCGAGAGATTCATCTTGATTGCGTGCTCATAAACTGAAATTTGCGGCTCGGCGTGAGTTTTCCCCACGTGGGTTATTCCGAGTACTTGCTCATGTACCAGTGTTGAAGGTGAATGATACTCACAAGGTAATTCCGACACGGCTTCTAGCTGGCTTAGATTCAGCACGACAGTAAATGAGGATCTAGCTTCATGTTTTCAAGCAACATGTCGATGAATCTTATCTAAAGGACGTATAATAAAACTAGGCAGCTAGGTATATACAGAGGTTGTTTTCCGTATAGTATCGTCTAACCGTGATTCGAATGTTCTGATGAAGATTAGCGCCCAATCCTCGTTCTCGTCTAATACTAGATGAGATGTCTAGAGCTAGGTATCGTCAACATCATCCTCGCTCTGATGTCGAGTGAAACTTTCGAACCAAGAAATTATATCACATGATCCTCTGGCACTAGTTCCTGCTATTGGCAATTCATCATTACCCAGGTGTACTTTGGTAGGTTTTTTGTCGGAAAGACCCTCAATATTCTTGGTGTGGGGCTGCCCGTGTAAGCGAGTTATATACGGGTCGCAATTTTTACATCGTCAACCTTGGTGGCGAGACGATCCACTTTTGCTTTGGAACGAATACAATTTATTCAAACTCGATCGTGCGATTGAAATAAACAGGCCTCAGATCCAGCAGCAATGCGATAATGGAAAACAGAGTAGCTTTTGATTGCATGAAGAGAAAGCAGCGATGAGGTGAGTGAGTAACACACGAGAGAAGGAGGGACCATACAGTTTGGCGAACGACACAAGGTTTGCACGAGGAATCAAATTTGTCGACGTCACAAAGATTGCACGGTTTTTTATTGAGTATCCTCCTGAGGCCAGGTGAGTTACAGAAAAAGGCAGGCGCGACTTCACGGTGTGTTAATCTCGATTCCTTCAAGCAGTCGGTACGGAAGAGTTGGATGGTCATCGGCTCTTTCCTGGAAAGAATTACTATCAATGCGCTTGCTTGAGAGGTATATAAAGATCACTTCTCAACAAAAACTCATCCTCAATAACAACATTACCATCTTTAATAAACATCATCTTTGGCAAAACATTGTATATTGTATTTCTTACTATCGCTTCCAACACACACCATCCTCCGATATGAAGCTCATCATTGTCGGCTCGACAGACATACTTGGGCAGGAACTTATCAAACAAGCCCTTGACAGCATCGAAATCACATTCATCTTAGCTATAGCAGGTCCTGGTACAGATCCAGAACTTAGTAGCCATTCGAAATTGGTGACGTCCGCGATTCCCGAAAAAAATGAGGAATGGGAAAGACTAATCATCGATGCTAATGGAACGCATGCTTGTATTTGGTATAGACAAATTTCCTAATCAAATTCTTTCGTTGATGAATGGCAGCTGGGACTGCTTGACACACCTTAACTTTTTATCTCAGATTCTGACTCAAATACTGCAGGAACATTACACCTATCATAGAAGAACCGAGAGATTTATTCGGATATCCCGACCAAAGAAAGTATCTCAATGAAATTGGATACGGCGTGGAATGGATGGCGAGGCGATGGGGAGCAAATCTCGGAAACCCTCCGCCCCCTGGTGTAGCCCCCCTCAAGTTCATTTACGTGAGCTCTTCGCACGCCAAAAAACACCGGAGTGAGAATACAGAGCCAACCAAATTTTCGGTACAGGTGTGTTATCTCCTTATACCGAGTTTCGAGAATGAAATAACAGTACTAACTATATGTACCTACAGGGAAACGCAGAGGAAAGAGTTTTGAGATGCGCGGAGGATCTCGGTGGACAAGTGCAGGCATGCATCGCAAAGCCAGGACACATTGTACGTCACAAAACTGGCAATGTCTTCAAAGAAATGGTGCATGCTGCTGGATCATGGGTTCGAGATAGTCTTACAGGCCGGCTGCCAAGAGTTCAGGTAGAGAAAGTTGCGGCTGCGCTTCTGGACAAAGCTATCACGGGTAACCACCCAGAAACTCTCTTTAATAGAGATTTGATCAAAATTGGGGAAGCTGTGCTCAGAGTCCCAGAGGGCGCGGTGACAGGTGGTGGACAGGCAGAAGAGGCGGGTGAACAAGGAGGCGAGACGAATAAACAGGCAGGACAGACGGTTCAAAACGTTTGAGAAGCCTACCTCCAGACCATATTTATATCGGTACAGCGTTTATACAGTAGCACTTCAGTGCTATCCTTAGCAATAAGCATATATTACTAGTAGAAATAATTAGCTGTTCAACAAGTCTGGCTCCAACCTTTATTCTTGAACAAAGTGTCGCCTTGACTTTCCAAATTTGGAGTAGACAGGTGCTCGTGTAATGAAGTGACGCATCGCTTGACGCATCTCACTCTCGTGAAACACTTTACTTAATGAATGATTCTACTTCCTAATCAATAACCCCAACAACAAGTCTTAATTTCCTTGAATAACGTGCTCATGCCACACCAGCATTAGCGTTAAATTGAACCGCAGATATAGAGAATATACGAATGATTTTCTTAATCCCAATTACAATCTCCACACTTCCACCCTATTGCATAGGTATCCAAAGCTCCTGGTACTTCTCGCTTCAGTTATATTCCCGACACTGCTTAACTTTAATAGCAATTCCGATATACTAAATTCCCCATCTCACCAACTCCCAATATCTATACATCTCACTAGATGCCTCTCATTTCTGCATTTTTGACCAAGGTCTGAGACGTCAACTATATTAGGTACTCCCCCTCTCTCTAGATACTCTACCGAAGTTATCACATCATACTTTTGTAGATTTCTAGCTTCAAGTACAACTGCAAGTACAACTGCAAGTACAACTGCAAGTACAACTGCAAGTATAACTGCAAGTATAACTGCAAGTATAACTGCAAGTATAACTGTAATCACAACTGCAATGACAGATAAGCAAAATAACTCGCGCACTTCGCTCGATGATTCTCTTACTTGCATCTCCACAAAATGCTAAAATAGCTACGACCATCACTATCACCATTATCGTTATTACCTTGACCGCAAATTAATCACTTCCAATTCCACTTCCACTCCCAGCTATCAAGAAACATATGATTCCCCAATCTCAAAAGAATACTAAATGCAACACCTTTCAACACCTTTCAACACACAAAATCCATCTCGCAAACGCATCCCATAAACACTAATTGTTACACTCCACAACAACCCCAATACCAACCCCCCAAACTACATATCCAAAACACATCCCCAAAAAACTTCACACATCACACATCCCCCAACCACACATCACAAACTCCCACTCCCACTCCCACTCCCACTCCCACTCCCACTACCGAATCATACCAGAATCACTTGATCCCCTACTCCATTTCTTCACATCGATTTATTATTTAATTCGTTGACTTTGTTTTTACCTTCACCTCCACCTCCATCTTCACCTCCACCCTCTCATCATTCCATCCATCATTCCATCCACCTGCATGCAACTCAAGAAACCATGAAATAAAGAACTCAAGAACCCAAGACCTCAAAAGTAATTAAACGAAAACACCCCCTCCCCTAAACTTCTTAATACTTGAGTCTCATATAACATTCTATCTATCCATTCATCTCGCTTTAAAAGAATCCCGCTTCAAAAAATCAAATAAAATAGATATTAAAGATAAATAAATATATATATATATATATATATATATATATCCATATATATATAAAATTCCTCCTTTAATTTAAGAAATAACAAATAACAAATAACAAATAGATAAATCTATAATTTTTTCTTTCTTTTGCCCTAGAGATTAATATACAAAAGAGAAAAAAGAGGGAACAAAAGAGAAAGAGAAAGAGATTAATCAAAAAAAGGAGGGGGGGGAAGAGAAAGAGAAAAGGGGAAAAAAGAAAAGAATAGAAAAGCAGATATCTACCTACCTACCTATGCATAGGTACCTATATCAAGGAAACCACAATCCTCCAAATTCATCATCACCAACCGCCTCTCTACTCTAATTAACTCATCAACATACTTCTTCCTCCCACTACACACTCGATACACCACAGCACAGCACAGCACAGCACAGCATAGCACCACAAAAAAGCATCAACGACTTCAACACAACAACCACTATAAAAACCATGGGTATCAATATTTCCTACGAGCATCTATACAATCTAGACACATCAAATTCCTCCACATCCCTCTCACCTCCCTCACCTTCCCTCACCAGAACATATAATCCGCACCGACAAGTTCCCCTCTTCCCCCTTTCGCTTCGCTTCCCCCTATACTGAGGCTAAAACCATCTGTTTACCCATCTGCCCCGTTCCACGGAGATATATATCTTCCTCGCCCTCGCCATGAATATGCACAAAGTTTAATACTTCTGTCGAATGATCTCGAGGAGGAAATCTTCAAAGGAGAGTGTGATGTAACCTAGTGGAAATGGTCAGATACTTCTAGGTCAAGAGAAGGATGCGAAAAGGCTTACCATCGCGGTCATCATCGTAACGTTTAAAGCTATTTCAAAAAAAAAAAATCATGTTAGCAATCCACTCTCACCATTCCCAGGAATTTCTTTTCGCAAACATAGAACCTCGAAAACATCCTAACCCCATCTCAAAAGAAAGAAGAACAGAAAAGGAAAAGAAAAAAGAAAAAAGAAAAAAAAACCTACACATCAGTCATCCTCTTCAAACTAATACAACTCTGCACAAACATATCGAAACTAATCGCTCCCTCCGCTCTCTTATCATAAGCCTTAAACAGTGTCCCCACAAAACTATCACTCAATCTATAACCAAAAGCCACCAGCGCCTCCGAATATTCATCCAAACTAATATTCCCACTGCGATCTTTATCGAAACGATCAAACAATCCACGCCACGCCGCGAGAAATCCCCACAATCCACAGAACTCTTCAAAATTGATCGTGTTGCTGCGATCGGTATCGAACATGCGGATCATCATTTTTACAGTATACGGATCGAAGGCGGTCCAATCGCCATTTACGAGGGCGGCGCGGAGCTCTTTTTCGGTGAGAGCGCCGGTTCCTAAATGGCGGGGGTGATTAGTCTTTGGATTTTGGATTTTGGATGGAGGATTAAGAATGAGGTAAAAACATACTATCTTTATCCACAGCCTGAAACAGCGGCCACAATTGGGGATCCGCACCGGGAGGAGCAGGCGAAGGAGGAGGTCTAGATTGTTGCGCGGGTCTTGTCTGAGGCGCAACTCGACCAGGTTGGAATTGGCCTGGCGGAGGAGAGGCATAGCCGCGACCTGGAGGGGAAGCGCCATAGTTTCCTGGAGGATGCATTTGGGGCGAGAGTCGTCGCCCATCGGATGGTCTGCGGCCGATGGGATTTATGCTTTGGGGGAGGGATGGCGGGGGTCGGTTTTCGTATTGTGCGCCGTGCATGGCTTGTTGCGCTTGGCTGTGGATGGGGGCTTGAACGATGGGGGATTGTGCATGTTTCTATTGCGTGGGTTAGTGGTGGTTATGCGATGCGATTTGGGGAAAGGGACAAATGTACTCGTTCTGGCTCTGCGAATCTGTGGGGTTTGGGTCAGCCTGGTTCTAATCTGGAGGGGAGAGATTGGACTTACGCAGGTAGCGAATCTGGGTTGAAAGCTTTGTTGTAAGCCATATTAATTGATTGAATACAGAGTATGGATTGTAGGAGATTTTCCCGACCACGGATTCTGTAGTTGTCGACGATTTAATGAAGTTGTGTGAGGTTTCGTGGTAGGATAGATGTTAATAAAGATTGAAGATTGAAGCTCGAGCGATTAGAGGGGCCGTGTAAGACAAAAGTTCCCTTGACGCGGCGAGTAGGCTGAGCGTTACAATGGTGGATCTAATTTCAGGTACCTAGTGATCACCGGAAGAGTTGCCGAATGAAAAATGCCGATGAAATTAATTTGATGTCAAAGTATCGTCGAAAGAGGAAGTATGGAGAGAACCGCGAGTCCCAGATGTATTTGGATAGAAAGGAGTCCTCTTAAGTATTCGTGGGGGCTGAGCTGAGAGGTCGTTGAGAATCCTTAGTGATTCACCCAGCTGTTCTAAAAGCCCAAGAATGACGAATGCCAATACTTGAAGTGAGTATTTTGGAGCCCTGGTGAGCAATCGAAAAAAGACATTTCCACTGCAGGAGTGGATGGACTGACTGACACTGACACTGACAAGAGAAATCATGCGCTCTCGCTCTCGCTCTCGCTCTCGCATTCTCTTGACTCTTCTCCTCTCCCATATGAATGAGTTACCTGACATGTACTGATTTTCGCGCCCCGGTGAGCAATTCCTGCACCGTAAACTATGTTGCGATCAAGACCTACGTAAGTATCACCTGCTATCTAACTCACTCGCTCCCTTGGATATAGACTTTTTGTAATTCGATGAGTTCATTTTCATGCATCTGTATCAATCAGAGTACAAGGTTGTCATCATTTATACCCATCTTGGCTTGGTAATAGGTATTCCACTTTCCCGTACTCGTACACGCAATAGATATTATAAATCTCAATCAGAGCATCTGGAGAAAAAAGTGGAAATACATGCAAACCGCCATCGGCATTACTCGACTGATCACTCCGCTCTACCCATCCCATCCCATCCCCAAGTACATCATCCTTCACCCTCCAAACGCATCTGAAACATAAAAATTATTTCTACCCCTCGCTCGTCACTCATTGTCACTTCACCTCACACACAAATATCAATACCCCCTCCTTTCTCCCCTCTCCTGTCTCAACCATCTAGGATAATTCCCGGATACGAACCAATACGCACTCAATACGCACAATACGTCCAATACGCACCATGGGCGACACCTCTCTCGCTCCCTCCCCCTCTACCACCACCACCACCACCACCAATCCCGAGAACGAATTCTGGATATTCGGATACGGGTACCTATAACCTTACACATCTTACTCTATTCTACATTATCTACCTGAGTATATACATCCCCAGCTAACTTGCCTTCCAAACCACAGGAGTTTAATCTGGAAACCCCCTCCACATTTTGGTAATCTAGAAATCTCCTTCATTCCGTCCTTTATCCTGTCCTGTACTGTACTGTGCGCTTCAAAATGTGTACCTAGGTATCTACCTACAATACAATACACCAAACCTCCTTTAAAAAGGACAAAATACCTACCACCTATCACCAAAACCAACCCCATCCATCCCCTTAAATAACAGAAACCTCACCCCAACCCCAACCCTCAACCCCAATTCCCCAACCCCAATTCCCTAACAACCCCCAAATAGATCGTCGTATCCCAGGCTATGTAACAGGCTATATACGGAGATTCTGGCAGGTATGATTCTTTTCCTTTCCCCTTTCCCCTTTCCCCTTTCTCTTTCTCTCTCTCTCTCTTTCCAATCTAGAAATGTCATAGAAGCAAGCAGAGTTTGACTTTGAGAATTCTCATTCCCTATAAAACTATTTTCATTTTTTGTTCTATATATGAGTAGGAGTTGATGTAAAGAGGAATAATAGCTAATAGATAGATATCCAGGCTAGGTAAATAACCCCCCCTCTTTTTCCCATCTTCCCCTTCCTATCTTCCCCTCCCCTCTCCTTCCCCCACCCAACCCAACCCAAACCAACCCTCCTAACCCTCCTAACCCCTAACCCCCCCTCTAGCGAAGACCACCGCGGCACCCCCTCCTCCCCAGGCCGCGTCGTAACCCTAATCTCCCACTCCCACTGGCTCACCCTCTCCGATCCGCATTCTCTCCCTCCCTCCTCCTCCCCAAAAACCTGGGGCGTCGCCTACCACGTCCCCTCCTCCCACGTCGCCCAAGTACGCGAATATCTCGACATCCGCGAGATAAATGGTTACACCATCCACTACACCGAATTTTATCCCGCCGCCTCCTCTTCCTCCTCTTCCTCTTCCACCGAAACCCAACAACAACAACAACAACAACAACAACAACAACCGATCCAAACCCTCCTCTACATAGGCACCCCCTCCAATCCGCAATTTACCGGCCCCCAAGATCCGCAAGAATTGGCTGAACACATCTTCCGAAGCGAAGGCCCGAGTGGTTTGAATCGTGATTATCTTTTGAGTTTGGATGTTGCTTGTATGTTGCTTTGATTTCCATTCCGATTTTGGTTTCTGCATATCTTGAATGCCAGTCACTATTATATACATCTGCATTAGAGACGAATAATCATGCTAATAAATCTAGTGGATGAATTGAGTCCCGAGAGTGGTGATGATCATATCAAGGACCTGGCGAATAGGGTTCGGAAGATAGCTGAGAGGCAAGGAGATGTAGAAGCAGAAGCAAGTCACACAGAGCATATAGATCATGAGCTCAAGAAGGTTAAAAGCACAGATGAGCAGGAGGAGACTGAAAAGTAACGCGTGAAAGAGCTATTCATTCATTCATTCCCTTTTTTGGGGTATTATTTGCCATAGAAACCATAAAGACCTGCAGAAATATGCAGTCTTCATAAAGAGAGCTTGATCAAAATGATCGTGACTCGAAAATACAGGCAGACTTGAAAAACATTTGTCAGATGTTAGAAAGAAAAAGTGATCGAGCAAGGTAAGATAACCCCCTCCAAACTCCATGCAAGCATCAGTATTGCTCGCCAGACCAGAACCGCTGCCAGAAACCACAAGGTAAATCTTAAGCTGCTATCGAAAAAGATGACAGCATCATAAATTCCACCCCACGAAAAACCTTCGCTGAGAACCCCAGGCTGACTTTTCTTATTCTCGGAGAATGAGAGACCTTGAAGAAGAGAAGAATGCCACCCAGTCGAAAACAATTTATTGGTTTCCTCCCCAGTTTCCGGCATTTCCACCACTTTGATTACGGTCGTATCCTCCTCCGCCGGAGTATCCACCGCCGCCACCACCGGAGTAGCCTATAGACAGTTATTAGTATGCTTATAAAAGTAAAGAATAACCACGGTGCAACGTACCGCCACCACCACCTCCATTGTAGCCTTTATCATCTCAATTGTTAGTAAATGCTACTCAAAATATTCACGACAGACTGGTCGAGCAGGATCGCTTACCTCCGCCACCAGAGTATCCACCACCTATATCATAAATCGTCAGTAAAGTTCATGCGACCACTGAATGAGAAATCATCAAAGGGAATCTTACCTCCACTGTATCCACCACCTCCAGAGTAACCACCACCGGAGTTGTTGTCATATCCACGACCACCTTGGTATCCTCCACCACCACCTCCATATCCACCGCCGCCACGGCCTCCATATCCTCCTCCACCTCGGCCACCACCGAATCCACCACCGCCACCACCTGAGCGGTCATTGCCGGAGCGCTCGGAGGCTTTGTCGACACGAATGGTACGGCCATCGAATCTATATGTATATTAGCTTGTGTCTAGGAAATTGAATGTTGGAACAAACATACTCAACGCTATTCATCTCTTGGATAGCTTTATCAGCATCGGCCTCGGGGGACGAGTCGGGGTTGCCTTGTCCATAACGAACGAAGCCGAAGCCACGGCTACGACCAGTGTCGCGGTCCTTGACAACAACCTGTATTGATCATATCAGTTTCTAATCTTGCAGTTGAGCTTATCAATCAAGGGAGGGTAGAACGTACTGCTTCTTCAACAGTTCCAAATTCAGAGAACTTCTGACGGAGAGCGTTCTCATCTGTGTGCCAAGCAAGGCCACTAATTGAAAATGTTAGTCAATCTGTCAAGTGATGGTTTGAATGGAGAGTAAATATTTGGACTTACCCAATGAATAATTTAGACATGATAGATAATTCTCGAAAACCTGGCTGAAAGTCTCAATGTCCGCACGCATTCACACAAAAAGAATCGCGCCATTTTAGGCGGAAGTTGTGTATACGAGAGACGGACGGAACACACAAAGAAAGATACATCGAGGCAAAAACAGGAATCCGCAAAACGGAGATATGGAAGGGAGGGGTGATGTGGAAAGAATGTGGAATCAAAATCGCAAAAGACAGTCAAGTCAGCTAGCACAAGCAGGAGAATCGGACGAACTTCTTGAAGGATGAGAGTGGTGTCGAGTTGAAGTGAAATATCGAGATTTCTTTATTTGATTGATTGATTGTTTGTTGGTAGAGGGGATCGGGTCTGAGATGTAGATAACAGATCGTTGGAAAGAGATTATTCAATCGGACGACTGAAATGACAGTGCGATCTGATAAAGTATAAGAATGCGAAGGTAAATCGCGAAAGAAGGTATTTTGGAGTTGAGGTTGTAAGTCGTAAGGAAGAGGGAGGAAGGTGGAGTGGAAGAAAGGATTTAAGATGATTGAGGTAGGTAGGTAGGTAGTAGGTCGGTAGGGAAGATTTGTGAACTCTTAAGCGCAAAGCGGGGGAATTGAAAGAGACTGCATATGATTACCTAGGTACCTACCTGGTATTATTGCCCCTCCCATAAGATTCACTAGCGCGCAAGAAGAAGAAGAAGATGAAGGGAGATACCATGAGCGAGCTTGACCTTTGATTCGATCCCTTGAATTCACCACACCTTGATGGGGGGCTCACGGTCCACGCCCGATTGAGTTAGATCGACTCTTTTTTACCAAGTTCCAGTTCTCAACAACAAAAACAACCTCAAGCTTTATCCCACATTATCACCCGCTCGGGATTTTCCATGAATACTTCACTCATTTATTATTACTTTATGATCTCTTTTAGATATTCAACCAATGGAGAATTCACGTTTTACAAAGAAATACGTAGGTATTATATTTAGAATCAAAAAAGGAAATTGAATTAATCATCTTTATGTCATCTATTCACTTCTCACTTCTCACTTCAGACCACCACATAGCTAGCTAGGTAGCTGTATGATTCTTGTGTGACATCTGGCCAGCAGCAAAAAGCAAGTTATTCCATCATGCACACATTGGTTGAAAAGGTCAGAGACGAAAGTTTCCATGATGCTCAATGGACGGCTGGAAAAGCCCATGGCTTACTAGAAACCTTGCTTTGATTCATACTCCTTTTCTTGTTGGTTGGAACCAAGCAATCCTTCTTTTGGCTGTGGTCTATCCTTGGCTTGGGTATCTAATTGATATAACAGATCTTCCTTCGGCTTTTACGTTTGTTGCCCAATATGAATCTGGACGAATTTACCAGAATTGCCTGGGCCGGATAATGAAATAGATGGCAGGTACTTAGGTAGGTATAGGAATCTCCGGATTTCGGCATTGATATGTCGCAATCTGCCCACGTAGATATATACAATACAATGCCTCCAGAGACGGTGTTATCATACGATCAATCAATCCTTCGACCCTTCGATAGCGAAAAGCCAGATGTTTGGGGATTCTTGTGCTCTTCTCGATGCCCTTGGACCATATCCACCTCTTACTAGCCCATCCAATAGCTTTTCCAAGCTTTCCAGCTTCCAATCCAATGAATAATACGATCGCTCGCAAGCTTTATTTAGTATGAATTCCAACATCCTATCATATGCACAATCCCCAAAGATCCAACCTGCAGACATGCAGACACTACCGGATTAGTAGCAAGATGGTATGGAGCTATGGAGCCATCAAGTTGCATACCGTAGCTGCAGAGTATATAATACGACGGTACGAGACTATGAAATGGGTGTGAAGATCAAAGGGAGCTTGGGGATCAGGATTGCCTCGATTGCATTGCTATCCATCGCTAGGTATCCATCGCTATCCATTGCTATCGATTGAGGTGGGGTAAAACTTGATTCAAGGGTCTTCTGTGGATGTGGAGCTCTCACTCTAATAAAATAGTCCAAGTGCCGTGCACTGCGCACTGTGCACAACTCCAAACTCCGACCAACGGTTCTCGCCAGTTGCCACACTTCTAACTTGCAGCTCGGAGATGGTGTGCATTCGAGGTGGAACGAGGAAAGACTCTATGGACGATGATCCAGTACCGGTAGGCTCGGAGTCATAGGGAGATGAGGACGAGGACGAGGTTGAGGACCAGTAGGTAGGTATCCAAAGAACCATCAAAAGAGTTACTATGTAGTATTACATGAATGACGAATATAAAGTCCCACTGCCTTATCACCAAAGAATGATTGATACGGGATAGAATCAATGGAACACGAACTTATTTACTTTTTATTATTCAATCAACCGAGTTTTCCTTTTCAATAATACAACAGCAGCAACAAAACCCGTTCAATTCGTTCGCACGTCTTCGTTGACACATCTATTCACACATCCATTCACACGTCCATTCACACGTCCATTCATTGGCAGTACCTACATGCATGGCTTTAGAGCTTCCCAATTCATTTTTTTCTTCGCATCCTTCGCACCCTTTTCATCCCCTTCCTCTTCCATTCGCAAAAAGCATCCATTTATCCCACAATCATGCTATCAAATGTCTCCACCATCTTCGATCTTCCGCATACAGAGTCCAGACAAACCTTGAAACTTACATGCATCAAATTCCACCCACGTGCACACAAAGCTATACTCAAATAACATGTTCATTCGGCGAGATACATACCTATCTAGGATTCTCTACCAAAAGGGACGTTTCTCCTTCCGAAAAATATCTGAATTAGAATCCGACAAATCTAGAACTCATGAAAATAAAATAAACTTGTGCTTCGTCTAAAGTTTACGATACGGGTGGTCAAGACCGGACGGATGGTGACATGATGAATCAGGATAATGCCTCTTCATTCGTACAATTTGATGCGGGGAGTCGTGGCAGTGGTCGTACGAAAATGCTAGATAATCAGATTTTTATATCGTTGATGAAGAGGGTTCAAGGTAGGTAGGTATACAGCGGATATTGGTGTAACAATTCCTACCCGTGGAAGCCTCGAAGGGTATGATAGGTATGATGATTATCGTGATAACTCACATCTCACAACAGCACTCGCATTTTCTTCCAATCAGGTGATGGATAGACGACATTGAGATTAAGATCAACATTATCACATCTTTTCATCTACAGCTGCTGATCAAAAGTTGGACGGAAAAGCCGTTGCGATTTGATGTTTGCACATGTGCAGGATAGGATAGGGCTGCAATTACCCACACCGCTATTTATCCTTCCTCGTTGCTGATACATCTTGAAGATATGCGGCTCTTGTTGACTTCTATAGAGTCTTAGGAACAGCTTGGCTCTTTGATATGATTTGACAAAATCAAAGGCAGTCGGTAGGGATTAGAAGACGGCTTGAATCAACGTCTTCAGCAGTAGCGAAATATGATGATGCTAATGTGGTGATGGGTCTTGAAATTTTCTGATATGATCTCCTTCAAGGAACACAATGTCAAGGAGTTGTATTGGAGATGGAAATGTATTTACGACAGGTTGAGCGATTCGACCAGTTTGACAGACAATGTTCCTTAACGTTTACTTCTGAGTTAATTGTACCTAGGTGCAAATTTGGTAGGCTCGTACCTTCCACTTCTTCACTTATTAACAATGCCCTTCCTTCCTCAAGCTGGGAAAGGAATTGCTCACCATGTAAGTTCATCATTCATTTCATCCTGATAAGTTCATAAAACCGTTCATTTCATTTCAATTCACAATGTAAAACGTTCACCCTTTACTATTCATCCCGTCCTTCAATCATATGCTTTTTCGCCAATGGAGGGCGATCATCATTCTCGCAAGCGCAGACATGCTCATGAGCACGGAAATGGACATGTAGACTCGCGAAAACACCACAAGCATTACAATAACCATAGCGCAAGTCCAAGACATGATCGAATATATTCTCCAAAAAGATCCGTGGAACAAAGACAACCACTCGCAATTAGAGATCAAAACGAACTGTCTGCGGACAAAGATTATGTTCGCAACTGGCTTGCGCAGACTCAAAATGAGTACATCATCGAACCGCCAAAACAATTCAACGCTGAAATAGGTAAACAAACAGTCCTAATTTATGTTAGTCTCCCATGATTGTATGCACTGACACGTCCTCAAGACTCAGGCCGCCAACAGAAGAGATCAAAGAATTTGGGTTATGGTCATACAGGATATAGACCCGGGGAGAGTAGAAGCATTGTAGATCCGAGGCCGAAGTCCTATGAAGAGCACGCATCATCTGATAGTTCCTTGCTCGAAGCTTCACGGATGCAGGTGGTAGATAAACGAACTGAAATCCCTCAAAAGTCAAACACCGCCAACCGTGGTCATGTCGAGGAAACAACTCGATTTCACAAACATGAAAGGAATGTGTCGTCAACCATAACTTCTTTCTCGTCCAGATCTTCTGTGGTGCAGCCAAAACAAGAAACATTTGAGAAAAGAGCGCGCCATAAGACGAGAGAGGATCGTTATGACACAAAAAGGAAAAGCAATAAAGCTGAAGCTGTAGACAAGCCAATCAGAACAAGGCGCGAGAGGAGAGGAGACCGGACAAAAGCTGCAAGAAAGGCTAGCAAGGATCTTATGAGCAATTTTGCATCGAACAAGATAGGCAAAGACCGTTTAACAGTGAGTAGATCCTTGGCCTTGGGGTTCAGGAACTGATTGTGCCAGGTACGCCCTTCAAATGGCCCGGGTATCTTTCAAAATGGCAGAGCTTCTTCTCCGCCGAGACGCCGAGGACGTAGGTTTCCATCAGTATTAGGCTATTTGAAGAGAATTGCTAACCTGTTCGTAAGTACCCGACCTCGCTTTCTCGGAAATGGAATTCCTTCAACGCTCTGGCAGAAAGTCGCAGGTCAACGATTCTATTGTGGTTCCTAAAAGTCGTGTCAAGGAAAAGAAAAAGGCTGCGCGAGCGCAAGATGAGATAGCAGAATTCTTCAAACCGTCCAAGACCCCAGTAAGGGACAATAGTCCTACTATCGACCGTCCCACTTCTCCAACTTCAGCATGTGAAGTCCCTTTATATGAGAGACAACTGAGGATGGACCGCGAGGATGATCGATATCAGTACTACAAAGAGAACTCGGCGGCTCGTATTGATGAGAAAAGAAGTCATTTGATGGATTCTGGCAATCAGCAAGTACATTCCAATGAATTGCAGTTCCCTGAGAAAATTACTCCTAAACTTCACTCCGAGGACATCAGCAATCACAAGGTGCATTCCAAGACTACAGATACCATTGTGACATGGTCAGAGACCCAGTATTCTCCTGGCGCTACTATGGCCTTACGTCGAGCAAGAGAACAGTGTCTACAGAGGCAAATGAGTGCAACGCCGGACTCAATACGAAATTCTATTGAAAGAACGGGTATATTCAAGGACACAGGTATTGAGAGTTCAAGTCGATGGAAGTCGAATATCGAAGAGCCTATGAATGATGAATTGCATGGGCCAGGAGGGAAAGATATCACATCGACCATAAACAGTCTAGTCGAGGCGAGCAGAGAGTTTTCTAGCTTGGGCACAGATTCTGCCATCAATTCCAATCAGACTGGTCGACTTTCGAATTTCCAGCAACCAGATTGCTTGCCTCAACTTCCGTCGCACATGCAAAAGAAAATTGAGGAACCGTTTCTGAAAGGAAGTAATCCGGTTACGGTAGAGGCTCGCGACAAGGGACTCCGTAGAACTGTCATTGAGTATTATGATCCAAATCGTGGCTGGTATCGGGTGGAAGAGTCTGGAACACCTTCCAGATCACCAGAAAATCATGCAAAGCCAACGACTGCACTTACAACAACACCACTTACCCGACAACAAATGGCACGTAACGCTAAAATTAAACGCCCATCAACTACCCTCCCAGTGATTCGGGAAGCTAGCCACGAAAGTCGAGAAAAATCCCATTCGTCGATGTCTAGTATCTCAGGAAAAGAGATACAGCGAACAGAATCTGCTCCTGTTCAGCCATCAAGCGGGAAGAGAGATATGAGGAGAAATAAATCCCCTACGAATGACAGTGAGCGACTAGAGAATGTCATAGTTGAGCCACGAGTATCCGAAAAGATGTTTCCGCAGACGAATTCCCAATTTCAGAATGACAAACAGAGCCGATCTGGTGGACCAGGAGAAAACACCAGTAATATCAGCAGAAAGCCGCTTTCCCAGACTGAAATGGCGGATGAAGAGGAAAAGCCGCCTTCCGAGGTAAAAATGGCAAATGTGAATGGCAGAGCATTTACACCTTTAAGGACAACCTCACACATCAATCCAAGTAGGGATCATTTCCAACTCTCAACTCAGCCTGGAAGAGAACACGAAATTCATCATGGTCTTTCAAGGCAGTATTTTTCACCTACCCCGCGTTCACCCCTCATTCGAGTCCCGTCACTTTATGTTCATCAAATGGAACTGGAGCGGGAGGAAGATCAGATCACGAATGATATTTCAAATGAAACCCTTGACCAATATGGACTCTACGAAGTGCAAGAAGCTCAATACGGCATAGAAGGGTATGAAGAAAACTGGGATGATATAGAAACGGAACAGAGAATGACTTACGGTGTGGAAGACGTCCTTGAGATGGGTGATCTCCGTGAGCTTGGGCCTCAAGAAGAAAACATGTATCAGGAGTCAATATCAAGATACGAGATGGCCGGACCTCGCTACGATATCGATTTCCGAACGAATGATTACCAATTTCAAGATGTTCGAAGGACAGAATACAACCCTTGGGCTAGTGACAATCATTTGTTTCAGGAATCTTGGATTGGGAATCGGCAAGACATACAACAACAATGTGAAATTGAGTATCATGGTGATCAATTAGTCCGACCTTCGTTTCCTTCATACCGGGAACTAGATGAAGGCCAGGACGGGAATGCTCCGGAGACTATTTCAATGCAGAGATTTTGGCGACCAAATCCTCAATATTGAGCAGATGGAGACCGATTGTATTATATTTTATGACAAATAAGCGCAACGATATAAACATTTCGAGTATCTTGGAGACATTCTATCTATATGTCTTGATTCATTCGTCAAGACATTATATCATCAGCACATCATCAGATTTAGGAGAAGAATCGAAAAGATTAGGACTCAATTGTATTGCACCTCATACTCAAGATCAAACTTGATAATTATTAATGCACTCATAGTGATTATGATCTCCAATTTTCTCTTGACTTAGAGCTAGGTATGTTTTGAAAATTTCATTCCTATGACCCTTTGATGACCAAAAATTCCTTTCGGGTCCAACGCCCCCTATGATCGGAAGAAACCGGTACGACAAAATCCTAAAGTATCCGTATGTATTGACATCATGTGATCATATGATCCACAAGGCTGAGTTTGGTGGGGCGCATATCAAATGATTCAAATCCCATTCAAATCCCTTGTTTTCGTTTTCGTCCACTTAGAAAGATGGAATTGGATATCGCATTCCGATGAATTTACCATTCTCGGCGAAAATAGAATGCAAAGGGGCTCTGGCGTTTGCTTGTTTTCTTATCTTGATCTGCCCTACGTATACTCGTATTCTCTGATGGTATGTATGTGCACCCAACACCGACCACGGAAATCCTTGGGTCAAGTGTCATACAAAGAGAAATTTCAGCTCTTCCGTTTCTTCTTCGCAGTAATTTGAAAATTTATAGTGAAACCGCTATGAGTCTTCCACTGGCGTTCCGTATCTTCTTCTTTGCTATGTCAGCTTGTCTAGACGCTTAATCCTTGATACACTTGTTGCTATACATGACTTTTTCTTTTCGAGTGAAATAAAAAGTAGCCTTTCGTCCTGCTTTGTGGCAATTTATAAGTAGTACTTTCAAATATTCAAACATTCAAATACTTTTTACCTCTACTTACACTTTACTACCTTTGACTACCTAGTATCACATCATATCACACTTCATCAACTTAGTCATACTCCAATTACATACTTGATGACAACAATGTATGTATCAAGGGTATCTGCAAAACCCCTCTCAAATCAATCAGCAGCTCAGTTATCAAAAGCTGTAGCTTTCTTTGCTCAATCATATGGGTTGTCGTCGAGTACATGTACTGCACATGTACCATCAAGAAGAGCATTCACATCTGCTTCCAAAATCCAAGTAAAGGGAAGAGATCTTTTTCCAGAACCTGAACATGGACAAATTAAGAGAACGGAACCTGCTTGGCCCCATCCACCGTATGTCTTTCACAGATTGCATTGAGTTTTCTGGTGGCAAACAGAATACTAATATCGACATAGCTACACCGCCGAACAAATGCGCAGCAAAGTCTACTTTGCACACCGCAAACCTCGAGATTTCTCCGATCGTGTTGCGTTGGGAATGGTGCGTTTCCTGAGATGGTGTACGGATTTTGCAACGGGATATAAACATAATGTGGAAGAACCCAAGAAAGCATCCGATAGTAATGCACTTACGGCTACAAAACCATATCAGATGAGTGAGCGGAAATGGCTGATTCGTTATGTGTTTTTGGAATCGGTGGCGGGAGTGCCCGGGATGGTGGCGGGTATGTTGAGACATTTGAGGAGTTTGAGGGGGTTGAAGAGAGATAATGGTTGGATTGAAACGTTGCTTGAAGAAGGTTTTTTTTCCCTGTCTTTATATTGAATGAATTTTTCCCCCCTTTTTTCTTTCTCGGAGATCGATGGCTAATGTTTTCAATTCTAGCATACAATGAACGCATGCACCTTCTCACCTTTCTTAAAATGTACGAACCCGGCATCTTCATGCGCACCATGATCCTTGGCGCCCAAGGCGTCTTCTTCAATTCCTTCTTCCTCTGCTACCTCTTTTCCCCCCGCACCTGTCACCGCTTCGTCGGCTACCTCGAAGAAGAAGCAGTCCTCACCTATACCCTCTCCATCCAAGATCTCGAAAATGGCCACCTCCCAAAGTGGGCGGATCCGAATTTCAAAGCCCCGGATTTGGCGGTCGAGTATTGGGGTATGCCGGAGGGAAACCGAAGTATGAGAGATTTGCTGTATTACATTCGAGCGGATGAGGCGAAGCATAGGGAAGTCAATCATACGTTGGGAAATCTGAAGCAGGATGAAGATCCCAATCCGTTTGTGAGTGTGTATGGGAAGGAGAGAGGGGAGAAACCGGGAAAGGGGATTGAGAGTTTGAAACCTTCGGGGTGGGAGAGGGAAGAGGTTATTTAGGGGTAGATTGAGCGTGGGAGTTTGAGGCGGGGGTTAGAGGTTGGCTTGCGTCTTGCGTCTTGAGTTTATGGGGAATGCGGAATGGGGAATGGCGTTTTTTTTAAAGGCATGCAAAAGGAAAGGAAGATACCACTCTACTCTGTACATATTTGGGGGAGTACCATGGGCGTTTTTTTGTGCATGGTTTATAGAGAGGCATGCGAGATAGAAGTGAATTCTGTGGAAGATTCTCTGATTCACACTTCACTACACTACACTTTACTTGATTACATTAGATTAGATTAGAGTAGATCGTCAATCGCAAAAGTTGAAAATTCATCTTCGTCGCATTCTCTCCCTGCGTGTTGAAAAAATGTGGGATGTGATGTGATCCTCGTCTATATATCATCAAAGTCTCAAGTGTGAGTGTGAGATTGGTAGCTGGCTAGCTTGACTTTTTATATCGTTGTGACGAATGGGGTTTTGTTATTTCTTTTGTTCGTTGGTTCTTTTGTTCTGGCGTTCTGGCGTTCCTCTTATTCCTCGGCTGTAAAGGTGGAAATGAAACGAGATGAAAGGAAACGAATACCAAATGAAGATCCCGTAGTAGTCATAACATAAATGGATGACATTTTGTCTCCAGTATGCGTGAGGAGGTTGATACCGTGTCGGTAATCAATATCTTGCATGTAGATCTCATATAGATCGATTTCTACCTGGGTGCTGTGTTTTGGGTAGGTGGGATCTGGTGTGTTGGGGTTTTTTTTTGGGATTGTGAATGGGGTTTGTTGGTGGGGGAGGAGGAAGGGATTTGGTTTGTTTATTTGGGTGCGTTGTGTTGTGTTATATTGTCTGTCTTGCTTTGCTGAACTTGGACGTTGGTTTTGGTTCTTTTCCTGGCTTTGCTTTGCTTTGCTTTGCCTTGCCTTTCTTTGCCTTTCTTTCCTGCCTTTCTTTCCTGCCTTTTCCTGCATTTCTTTTCTTTTCTTTCCTTCATTTCTTCCCTTCCCTTCTTTCCTTTCCTCCCATTCTTGCGCTGATTTATGCGCTCCCTTTTACTCAACGCCGAGTGTGTGCATGCATCGCCTTTCATTATCTTATACAAGATACCCAATACATTTCCCCCCTCTACTTCTTCTTTTTCTCTTTCATCAAAGAAGAAGAAGAACAAGAAGAAGAAACAAACCCCCGCCAACATCTCACCCTACAACATTGCATCACTCCCCGACCCCCATCCATCCATCCACCATTTCACCATCAACACAAATCGTACCCCCAAGCAAATCCCAGAGCATACACGCGAAAAAACAAGAACCCCAACCTCATCGACGACCCGTGTGGAAATACCCCACGATACCGATTCCAAGACCGACGATACCGAGAACGCAGAGAGCGATGAGGAGAGCGCCGACGGGCTCCATGGTTTTCTATTTCTTTTCTTCTATCTTGTTTTTGTTATCCCTGAAGAGGAGGGGAGGGGAGAGAAGACCTAGGAAATCGGTAGATCTTCGGGAGGAAACAGGGGGCGTGGGGTAAGGAGGTCAGATCAGGCCAAGAGAGAGGAAGGAAGGAATTTGTTGTGATAGATAGGTATTGAGGGAAAGGGAAGTCTCCCGTGTTAGGTTATACGAGGAGTGAAAATACACACGTACATATACCATTTTTTCCCTCCCTATTTTATATACATGAATATGATTTCTGAGTCCGTGAATCCGTGAATCCGTGGAAAGGAGTGTGATGGATATGATATGATATTCATAAGGGATGAATTTGAATCCATCAATCAGACCCACAGCGGAGCGGGGAAATTGGCAATTATTGATGATTCAGGATAATATAAGTACTGTATTCTGGATATGGATGGAGAGGTGGTGGTGGGTATATCATCTCGTTTGTTCTGCGACTCGTTGGGGTTCTTGAAGAGGAATGGGGGGTTAGGGTAACCTTATGTTTGGGAGGAGGAGATGGGGACTCAGAGGGTAGGGTTTGCTTGGTATGTGTAGGTCTGTGCTGAGAGGGGGATAAAAGGGGTTGGCGTGATGGATCTACGCGTGTTTTGTGAACTGGATTTGTTTTTGTTGGATTCATTATTCTATGGTTGGGAGTTCATGTTCACGGATGTAATGATATAGCCATTTTGCCATCTGAGGAGAAAAATTACTATGGGTTTTGTGTTGGCGTTTAATCATCTGCTGGAACTCTTTGCTCATGAATAGAGATATCTGGACTCGTGCTCGGCTATTTTTTGGTGTTTTCTTTCTTTCGGTTTTCCTCTTTTTTTCTCGTTTTTTGTTTTATATCCCATTCTTGGGGTTTCTAGAGATGGAAGGATGGGAATCGGGTTATTAGTAAAGATGTGGGTGCTAGTAGAAAGATTTTGACTTGGAACATTGTTACGTCTTGCAGACGTTAGGTGGTACTGTGTTGGAAGTGAGGGGAGGAGATGAATGTTGACGATGATGCAGTTCGTATTGGCGAGAAAGCCAGGACTACGGACTGCTCGGCGAAAAGATAACCAGTTTAAAGCTCGAACGTAGCAATGCAAACGGGAAGGGAAAGAAAGCGCTAGCACTAGTAGATATTATGATGATATGTGATATTGATAAAGCAGGGAATGATTTAGATGGCATACGACTTGTTGGTCAGTTGAAAACTCGAGATACTGTTTTTCGTAGGAAGTAAAGCGGAATACAAGTTGGTTATTCAAATCGATGAAGGTTTACATAGTGCAACACACAGAAGATGGTGAAAGGAGATGTACATATATGAGCAGGAATTCTTTTTGTGAACAGGAGGCCACTGATACCATTCAAGCTCCCAGGAGAAAGACATTGCCAATATAAATACATATACATAAGCATATTATTTATAGCTAAGTTTCTTGCAATTCATATATGCGCTACAAAGCCTTTTCTCTTGGCCCAGAAAGTCTTTCAAATCTATCAACGCTCATGACAAATGTTCCTCTACCACCAGTCATACTCCTCAAATGCTTCAAATGTCCAACCATTTCCTTCAAAGGAACCCTAGCGGTAATTTGGCGCTGCTGGCCAGGACCCGATGAATCAGTGCCGGTTCCTGACGCGAATGGATCTGGAGGAGTATAGACTCTTGAAATATCAATTGGCGCCAGCTCATTTTCTGCATCTTCTACATCACTATCATTTTCAAGTGACAAGACATGACCACCACGAGCTGATGATAGATCGTGCACAATTGCACCAAGGGATGATTCGTCGCAACTAATAACCACATTCATGACTGGTTCCATAAGTCCGATAGAGTTCGCTTGGAATGCTTCTTTGAGAGCAGCTTGTACCGCATTTCTTGACGCAGAAGATAATGCGGCAGATGTGGTGTCGGAACCAAAGACATCCTCAACGGTATCAAACTTCAATAACACATGCGCAGAATGAAGCGGGAATGCACGACGGGGGCCCCGGGCTAAACCAGCAACAGCCCCATTGATCAATGCTGTGTGAACTCCACTGAGGGTCATATCGGAGGGGAGTGTCAGAGTTCCATCACCTCCATCATTCTTAGCAGGTTTCGGGATGCGGATTGTGATTGTATTTCCATCAATATTCATAGTATGGTCAGAATCTTCTAGTGGCTGCTCGTCTGGACTGATACTAGCTTCGCAGCCTGCTTTTCCTTTTTTCCCAGCAACTTCACGATCAAATATATATCTGTGAGGTGATGTTGGAGAGAGTACACATTCTCGGTACCCGATTTCGATATTGCCCATGGTTGCCTTGGCTTTGAAATCATTCACGAGTCGATCCTTTGCGATTTCAAGATGGAGCTCGCCCATTCCACTCAGCTGCATTTGCCCAGATTCTTCATCAATATTAACATGGAGACTTGGGTCTTCCCTCAATAAGAGCTGCAATATTTCAGCAACATTTTTTTCTTCGCTTAGACTGTGAGGCTCAATAGCGGCAAAAAATACTGGTGGAGGAACATTGATCGGTCTTAGTTGAAGAGTATTCAGAGGTGGTGGCGGGCCATTCTTTGGATGAGCACCTGTGTATGACAATAGAGTATCGCCTGTACGAGCGTGTTTTAAGCCGGCAATAACGCCGATCTGACCGGAGGGAATGCTTTGTATCTCTACTGCATCAGACGCGTACATCTGTAACAGTCTTTGGGCTCTTTCTGAAACATGAAGATTCGTGTTCCACAAAGTAGTGTTCCGCTTGACTGTACCGGAGTATACCCTGATGTAGACCAACACGCCGCGTCGAGGATCATTGACCACCTTGAAAGCAAGGGCACAAGCTTCGACCTGAGAAATGAGGGAAGTCCGCGCATTGGATTTTTTGGAGAGATGTCTTGGTTGCGCCGCGGTAAGATCTAGCTTTCCGTTCAAAAGTTGAGATAAGCTGCCATGAACGTTTCCAAGTCGGACTTCTGGGTCAGGCCTTTCGGTAGGGTTTGGTAGAAGATTGTTGATGGCATCAAGAAGCGGTTGAACACCGATATTCCGAAAACTGGCCCCAGCAAAGACAGGTATGAGTCTACCGGAACCATCGAGTACGAATTTTCGCAAACTCTTTGTAATGGCCGTCGATGATATAAGCAGACTGTCATCGTTACACTCCAGCCAGGTTTCAAGAAGCCCTTCATCAAATTCGCATAATGCCTCTACGAGCGCAGCTCGCGCTTTGGCGATTTCTTCAGCGAATGCAGGATCATCTCTTTTCAGCTGATCAAGGGTGAAATGCTGGATTGATTTGCCATCCCCACCTTCTTCCCATTTTAGAGCACAAAGATTGACTGCATCACCGACTCCCATAAATTTTCCTTTTCCACCTTCCCACCAGGGAATTTGACACACTGCAGGCCAGCCCCGGAGCCTCGAACCAATCTCTTTTACTGTTTTCGCGAAGGCAGCCCCTTCACGATCAAGCTTATTGACGAAAGCGATCCTAGGAATACTATAATTATTTGCCTGTTTCCATACTTTTTCTGTTTGAGCTTCTACTCCTGCCACACCATCAAGAATGCATACAGCACCATCAAGGATCCTCAAAGAACGAAGCACTTCAAACGTAAAATCCGCGTGCCCCGGAGTATCAATCAGATTAAGAGTATGCGATATCAGTGATCGAGATGGGTCAGACGCTTTCGAGGATGTATCCTTCTCAGCTTCAGGGGGCCAATGCATCGTAACGGCTGCCGACTGGATAGTGATCCCTCTGGCCCTCTCGGCGGGGAGGAAGTCTGTGACGGTAGAACCATCATCGACGTCTGGTAGATCTATTAGATTGTATTCACGGTGATCATGTGACCAGTACAATCATACCTACCTCCTATGCGTCGAGTATAGCCACTGTAATAGAGCATACGCTCAGTAGTTGTCGTTTTGCCCTTTTGAAATCAGAAATTTTTCCACAAGAGACCAATGAAACTTACTGCATCGATATGAGCTATGATGCCAATATTTCGAGTTGTCTCTGTTAATGCATCATGACTTTCAGTATGCTGTGAATTATAACGAATGAACGCATTCAATTGACTAGGCTTAGCCAGACAAGGTCGTGTAACTTGTGTCAAGTATCGATGCCATACTCGGCACCCTCTTTTTGATACCAACAAGACCATCCCCTCAATAATTGAAGATATAAATGCTCTTCGTACTTTAATTTCAGAGGGCCAAGGGAGAATAATAATGGATTACTAATTTTTGCCTGAGGCTCGAATTTTGACGGCGGAATAAGCCAGACCACGGAGCGGCCGAACCTGGGAACTCTTCTCAATACCTACCTACTTCAGCGGAAGCTCTAATCAACCTCGATTGATTAATTGATTTGCCGTCTTTCTACATGTTTTCCACGAGTTTATGAAATACCCAGATGCACCAGTTTAAATACAAAAGTTCTTTTTGATCCAATAATTGCTACGTTCTTATTCTGTTGACTCTAGCTTATCGTCTTCCATACTAAAAGGTCGCGCCATTCATCATCATGGATTATTCTGCCTCGATCAACGATGCAGATAATCCTGCGGGTGCTTCTCCATGGGGATCTTCCCCTACTGGCTCACCACAGCATCCAAAAACCAGCACATTTCCATCCAGAGATATTGTGTCACCGACACCGTACAACCCGGATCAACAAGGCGGTGCAGGCTACTCGCAAGAAGATATAATGGGGACTGGAGGTTTCAATCGACCCGATAGCAGTGCTGGTGCATCGGTCTCTGATGCCGAAAGTCGCAGACCTGACACTGTCGAATCAAGTCAAAGCGATGCCGAGGCACAGCAAGGTTTTGCACAGTATCAACAGCAAACAGCTCCACAGCAACAGTATCCAGCGGGTCAACATAGGCCGGAACCTCAGAGATATCATCATTCTGCTGCGCGACAAGGGCACCATCCTTCGGCACCTCATTACAAGCTGCAAGCAAAGATCACCGGACTGGAGCGCACTGGGAGGAAAGATCCTATCTTGCGATTTGATGTACACGTAAGTCATCGATCAAGCAATATATAGCTTTGGTCTTGGCTAACCAATTGCGTAGACCAATCTTCCAAAATTTAGAACGACCCAATTTCGCGATGTCCGACGAACGCATTCCGAATTCATCAAGTTAGCAGATCATTTAATATCCTCAAATCCGGAAGCTATAGTTCCTGCAGTTCCTCCCGCGTTGACATCTGCTGGTGCTGGCACTGATGAGGATGAAGCGCGCGTTAAAGCTTCTCTCCAAAGATGGCTCAACTATGTTTGCTCTAATGACGTATTAATGAGGGACGATGAGATGGTTCTGTTTGTTGAGAGTGATTTTGGATACAGCCCAATGCTGAAGCGAAAGCAACCAGCTACTGGAGTTCGCCGAAGGGTTATCAAACAATTTGCACCTCCGCCCGATGACACGCCAGAATTACAAGATGCAAGGCCGGTGGTGAAGCTCTTCTACTTAGGAACGATGGATGCAGGACATAAGGTAGACAAATTGGTCAAGGCAAGACGAGGTAGGTTGTCACATGACAGTTGGAAATCCAAATACTAACGTGTATACAGGTCTTGGTCTAGCGGAGTCCGATTTCGGTGTCAAGTTGGGGGCAATGAATATCCAAGAACCTCACCAAGGACTTGCTAATGCATACCGTAAGCTTGGAAAGACAATCCAAAGTACAGGAGATTTCCATGCAGCACAAGGTACTGCTGAAGCCACAACCATAGGTGATCCTCTTCAGTATCATTCTCAAGATTCATTCATTGTCAAAGAAACTCTCACAAACCGACACATACTTCTGCGCGAATTACTACAGGCCCAGCAATTAACCCGAAGCAAGCTTAACGCTGCAGACCGCTTAAAGGCCAGCTCATCTGTCCGAAGGGAAAAGGTTGATGAAGCCATATCAGCACTTGATGAAGCACGCAGCAATGAAGTTTATCTTCACAATAAAACCCAACGTGTCACGGCAAACTTATTACTTGAACAACGAAGATGGTTCGCTCGGACTGCTGCAGATCTAAGGTTAAGCATTCGAGAATATGTGCTTCGTGAAATTGAAGCGGAGCGACGGACTCTGGCGACCCTGGAAAGCATTAGACCTGATATCCGAGCGATCGATTCTTCTGGTGGACTTAGCCGGTTGGGTAGAGAATCACACCCCGCAGCAAGGAGGGCCAGTCTTGCAGCCAGTCAAGGTCCTAAAGGTGATTCGTGGTCTGGTGTTCCAAGACGCCCCGATGGACTTAACCGGAGCATTTCAGGCAGTTTCATGTCTACTCCCGACGGCGCAACTGGCGAAGAAGAAGGAGGCGTTGGTCGTGATAGGTCGCTCAGTGGCAGTACTGGTGGATTGCCGGGCTTAAAAGAAGAAGATGACGAGGACCGAGTTGATGCGAGAAATGCGGCGTCGAGATTGGCTAATGTTCTATGAAGTGGTTTATTGCCGAGAATTCTTCTTAGCAAGAAACTTTCCCGGTATTGTGATCCGAGAAAAGGACCCTGGTCACACCCATTGTATCACCCAAAATCTGTATCGTTCATGCAAAGTGTATGCAATACAATAATTTTTGTGCGACTTTACCCGTTAAGCTACTGGCATCACGTATGTTTTTGATAGTACTTGAGAATATTTGACCAGATTATTTGGGTACCATCCAACCTGGCCAGGTAGGTTTCCTCACCGCTTGAGTAGATGTTTGCTTCTCGTAGTTTAGTATGCACCCATTGCATATATCACTTGAAAATGAGCCGCAAACCCGCTAGATCCTCGAAAAGTTTCCAGGGTTCCCGGTTCAATGCATATACACCTTTTAGTATCTTTCGCTAATCAAGATGATTACATAATTACATTACACTACATTACACTACATTACATTGCCTTACCTTATATTACCCTTGTGAATGGATAAGCAAGCCCAAAATCAATCCGAACCAGGCCTTTGGTTCGTACAACACCCAACGACACCCCCTTTGAAGAGTAGACTTCCTTGTATCATATTAAACGTGTGCCACAAGCTTCATTGAAAATAATTTGATAAACTTTCTGTATCACATCTCTGATTTCTGCAGACTCTTGAATGTTAGGAAAACATGCAGCAGCTTTAGCCACGTCACGAAAACTCTCTCAACGATCGAAGGTTACGATCTACCTTCCCATCACATCATCCTCTCCAGTAGGATCAAAACATCAATATACCACCCGGAATTAAAAATGCGACGTTGTGGAGGGAGAATGCATTTTCACACAACATCAGGCATGCGGGCCGTGTTCTTCCGAAGAGGGGCATAATAAGCTAATACCTATCTAATAATCTAACTCTTTCTTGCCTTTGTACCCAAGTCCTTGATTTTTCTTACTTTTTTTTTTTTTTTTTTTGGATTCCCCTTCGGATTCTTGCTCTTTTTCAGCTTGGATTGGACAATCATTCGCTGCCACTCAATCCGCCATTGCCACCTTAATCCTGCGTGAAAGTGGGTTTCTTCGAATAACGATGAGGAAATGCGAAAATTTACCCAGTATGTGTGCCATGACGAACTTTGTATCACATCTTGGCTCTGCTTATCGGCATAAAATATCCAATATCGCCGTTTATGAAATATCCCTATCAGGATCATACCATTCATTCATGCTACATCCACCAGCCTTACCGAATTTTCGTGAATTTGAGGAACGCGCCATCCAGGATATCAATATCTCTATCACCTTTTTTTCATCACAAAAGAACCCATCGACGGGTAAATCGACGATCGAAAAGAGTTCTCGTCGTGATTGCACCGATACTCCGATGTTAATCTAATAAGGTTGGGAAGAATCTGGGGTATGGAGGAAAATGATTGTCCGGGCTTGAAGTTTGGTGACGACTAATCACGTATTACGAGGGCGTGTTTTTGATGAATGCCGGGCAAAATAACCGAACTCACTAATATTTACTATGTAATTTTTATAATGAATATAACTTTATAAATATTAATAACTCTACTTTACCAAATTTATATATAAATCTTGATATAAAAAATTATTTAAATTTGAAAATACTTTTCAAATACTATTTTTATTTCAATTGTTATTGAATTTTAAAATAGATGAGTTTGTGCTTATTTTAGTGAGGAAATGTCCCTGCGCACGGACCCGGCATTCATCAAAAACACGCCCTCGTATCTAGGGAAATCAATGCTCCATTAAACTTCTCCACTCTCTCAGAGATGCGAATGGAGTTGTCGGATTGGTTGGCTTGGGCGTCTTATCGGACCCAGGCCTCTAATAGCTTTAATATCCGGCATGTATAATGTATTGTTGACTTCTTAAGACATTAGTTGATATGTACGTCTTGTCACTTCAACGATGTACGCTCGCTGCACACTGATAAACAACGCAAAAGAATGGGCGATGTACCAGTTACCAGGATAAGCGTCAAGTGAGGGGCCGGAACACATTTCTAGCCACACAGCTATCTTCAACGTCTAGCTACAGCAAGATATCCGGCAATGTTGTATCTTTCATCTGCCGTTACACCTCATACGATCTTTTCAGGATCTTCACTATTTGGATATACACGAAATAAAGTATATTTCACTCCAATCGCGGAGGTACCTAATACAAAGGTCCGACTCCGCTGGAAGCACAGAATTCAATCAAGGTGTGGTGTGCTTCCGTGCCTGCGTCTGCAGGGTACAGATGCATGGGATATACACATTTCCGCAACATTCCAGTGGACTGACTGTTACTGAGTATACTGCGCGATGGATAGCAACATGATAGATTAGGTATTTGCATGATGGATGTCTTGCAATCGAAATGAATCATGATAATGTAGATAGCTACAAGCTATGTGACTCGACAAGGAGAGCGCTAATCTCTTCTCCAGGGGAAGAAGGTAAACGGTATAAGTTTGGGGGTTTACTTTGGAGAGTGCGAAAATAGAAGAATTTATTAAGCCCCCACACTTTTCTTTCTTGGTCAGAGCACTAAGAGGATATTTTTGTTACCTCATATCTTTGATATCATACAGAGCAATCTCAAATGGCGCCAGCTTACAATGAAAATGTGATGAACGTGGAGGTCACATCCCACGTCAGTAATAAGTCTAGCATTCTTAGTAGCGTTCTACACGGAATACAAGATGTGAGATTGGTAAGAGGAATCCATCCCACTTAAACTCAGACGCATATAAATATATCAAGAGCACCCCGACTGACTTTAAACCCTTAGGAAGTTCGCAATATCGCCGAACCTCTCATCGGTGAACTCCAAGTTCAGATCAAATCGACTGGCATCTGCGGTTCCGATGTAAGCTATTACAAGAAGTTCGCTAATGGCGATTTATGTGCTTGTGCGCCTCTATCTCTTGGTCATGAAGCTTCAGGTGTGGTTGTAGGAATTGGACCACAAGTTAATGGTTTTGCTATTGGGGATCGAGTCGCTCTTGAGGTGGGCATATCATGTGGTCAATGCGATATCTGTAGAAAAGGAAGATATAACCTTTGCAAGAAGATGAGATTCAGGAGTAGTGCAAAAAGTGTACCCCATTTTCAGGGGACGTTGCAAGAGAGGATCAATCATCCAGCTGTTTGGTGTCACAAGTATGTTTTCAAAGTCTATCAAGGCAGTCTTAGCAAAGCAGCTTACTGATAATTCATTCAGGCTTCCGGATCATATCTCATTCGACGCTGCTGCGCTTTTGGAACCACTCTCCGTGGCAATTCATTCTATGAATCGAGCAGCACCTACACCTGGGTCCACAGCCGTTGTCATCGGAGTAAGTCATTATTTTAATAAATCCCTGTAGCCCCATGCATCACCGATTTTACTCCTTTAGTCTTGATCACTTTGCTAAAATGTCACCAGGCTGGAGCAGTAGGCCTCCTCGTCGCTGCCATGGCTCGTCAATCTGGTTGTCCTATTGTAACGATAACCGACATCTCCGCGAACCGGGTCCAATACGCCCTCGACCACGGTTTCGCTACCCACGGATATGTGATTCCTCCTTCTAGCTCCAACTCCAGCGCTCCCTCTACTGCTTCCTCCTCGGGAACATCCACTCCTTCTTTAGCTTCAGGAACCACAACACCTATCTCTTCCTATACCACCATCTCCGATCGTCTCAACTCTGCAAAATGCACTGCTTCCGACATCCTCTCCATTTCATCCCCAGATGACATCCTCGCCGAAGACGACCACGAAGGCGCTGACATGACCTTTGAATGCACCGGCAAGGAAATTTGCATGCAAACCGCCATCTACAGCACCAAGCCGGGCGGAAAAGTAATCATGGTCGGCATGGGAACGCCCATCCAAACACTCCCTCTCTCCGCTGCTCATCTCCGCGAAGTAGACATTCTAGGTGTCTTCAGATACGCAAATACGTATCCGACAGGTATCAGAATGTTGGGTGCTAGCGGGAAGAAAGGAGGTCTTCCGAGCTTGGACAACATGGTTACGCATCGGTTTAAAGGTCTGGGAAATGCGAAGCAAGCGTTTGAGCTGGCGGGAAAGACGATGGATGAGCACGGGGATCTTATCTTAAAGGTGGTTATTGAGGTTTAGAAGCGTACAAGGGGAAACGATGGAGTTATTTGACTTTTATGGGACCATAATGAATTCTTTTCTTCTTTTCTTTCTTCCTTTCGCACACGATCTGGCAACCTTTCTTTTAGATAAGAAGTCGACGGTTAATTTGGGAAAGTGGTTGGTGGGATGAACCTGGTGTTTTACTGCGGAAGAAAGATATCTGGTATTGGGTTGGCGTCATGCTTTGAAGCTGGAGATAGACAAATCGAAGATATTTGCAATTCAACTGATACATTCAAATTTCGCCTCATGTTGAAAGAACTGTTCCTTAGAATTGACCTCAAGCACACGCACAATCGAGACTCTTTTCCTACATAGATACTCAATCTCGCTTCAAATATTGAGATTCTAACAAGGCGTTTGGTCATGGCCTACTTGAGCCAATATATCTGGTCAATAATACCCTTATTTCTTATTTCCCCATGATGCCACCTCGCATTTAACATGCAAATCCGCTTTCTACCCATCAAGGTTGTGATTTCTGTCTCTCAATCACCTCTTAAGCACGAGTACCATGTAGACATCCGTGTCTAAATCCGGTAACAATGTCGTGCGACTATATCTCAAAGTCAAACACACAATTGTGTAACAATCCATCGAACCATATTTCCTTCTCGGCGTTGTTTCACAAGATAAGATATGCAAGAGGAAAATTCATGCTCATGTTCATGTCAGGTCAGGTATTCATTGCCTATCTAATTCTCGTTCATTCGTATCTCTCATTCTCATGATATCTGAAATCCCTCATGCAAGTACGCCGGATTCCCTTTTCTTCAAAATGTAAATCGCGCACCACCTGCATACCTACCCATACCTTCATACGCCCAAACCGAAATACGCCGTTGAAATCAGGGGGGAGAGCTACCCTATGACATAAGATCTCCAACATGCATTACTTCTCGCATTGGATGACTTTGATCACCCCAGCCCATTCCAGGGCGCTTCATTCCGCTAGCCTTTCCGTTCTCTACAACAGCAAACTTCTTTCCTGTTTCTCTGATATCGTGGGCTGATTTAGTGAGCTCGCTGAGGAGGGAGATGAGGCTGACATCGTTTTTCTCAGAGATGAGTTCGTGTTCGAAACCTTGACTGTCGGCGGGTATAAGAACACTAAGACGACCGAGAAGGGCTTGAATAGACCGAAGAATCGAGTGATTGACTGGCGCAAAGTTCTTCGATTCTGTATCTGCTTCCGAGACAACGCCGTCGGCCACATATGAGGGAGGGAGGTTTTGGAGGTAGGCGGCAACCAGATTGATTCGAGATTGAAGCATCTTGATAGCATTTGCCTTTGCAGTCAAGGAGGCAATTTGTTCTTCGTCTTCTCGTGATAGACTGCTCTCTTCGCGTTTCGAGGTCTCTGAGTCTTTGGACTTTTCTTTACCTTTGCCCTTTCCTTTACCTTCCACAATGGTAATTTTCTTGCTGGTACCATTTACAGCTGTAGCATTCCCTCCACCACGAGCCACGAAATCAACGCTGATCATTTCTGCTTCGCCAGTCTCGATAGTGAATGGGAGTTCCTTAAATTTGAGCTTGAGTTGTTGTTCCTCGTCTTTCATTTCCTTGTCCTCCCCAGTCTCCACGCCGCTTTCCTCTGCCTCATAGTTGCTTTCGTATATTGTGAGAGGCAATTTTCCGCCAACTGCGCCACCAAGTACTTCTTCAGGATGAAAGCCGAGTAAAATGGCAGACTCATTGTATATAGAGAGGATTTGTCGATGAATAGGAAGATGTATGGGTTGAGGTCCAGAGTTAGGAATGATAGTATACCACCCGACAAGATCAAGCGCAGGGACTTTATGAACATCCTTCACTGTAGAAAGTTAGTATGAAAGAAACTGCCCACCCAAGTTAGGTTGTACATACTTTGTTGTAATCTTGCCTCAAACCATAATGGAGATAGCTTTACTTCATCTTCCTCTGTAGTGAGCAGACATTCGAATGCATGCTCAATAGTGATTTCGCGACCATTCTGTTGACCTAGCAGAGCTCCAACTACAGGTCCAGTTTGTTGTCGCAGAGTGTGTCTTGTAATATAGTCTGAAATTGTGAGGAGAACGAGGGGGTGTAGAGCTACCTGGAGACCAGAATCGGACGACTTCTGTGTCGAAAGTAAGGAATTATGGTTGTCAACAGCCATTATGAAGCTTGTAAAAGGACTCAATAACAAAGACAAACAGTTTCGACAGTTTTTTGACAACTTTAAAGAAGTTAGATGTGTTTATGAATTGGCCTGTCGGTTTATTTGTCTTGTATGTCATAGAGATAGTGGGAGATTGTTTTGGCGGGAGCTTTATCGATTGTACCGGTTAAACTTCGGTTAACCACAATGCCGCTAGTGTACTACCAGTCTCCAGTATGGCTAACACCTTGGCTTTGGGCATGATAGGCACATAACATCAGGTTTTCCAATAACCTTTCAATAATTCACCTCTCAAGAATGTATCATTCCTGATGAATCAAAACCCCAAAGCTTCTTGTCGTCCCTTTACTCTTTGTCTATTTAGGTCCTATGCATAGAGCTTCTGTGATCTTTCTCATTCTTCAACCTACAAGGACAATGGCATGACTGCTTGGAAACGAACAAGCCAAAATAAGATGTATGTTCAAGCACTGGGTGGTCTTACATATTGTGAAATGCAAATCCCTTCACCATTAGTATGGATGTTGATATCAAACACGGTAAGATGGTATATAATGAACATGTTCACCTTGTCATCAACCTTTGTGTCTTTGCCTAATCTATGTCCTAATTTTATATCCTCAATATCTCCTTCTTTTCTAAAGTTCTTAACTCCCTAGCCTCCATTTCCTCTTCATGATGGCCGAAGTTGAACAGGCTAATACACAGAGCGCTATCTCTCCTCAAACTGCTCCCCGTCTAGAACCTGATTGTAACTCAGTACCTCTGACAGACAATTCAGCCCGTTTGGTTAACCATCAATCTATTCTAGCTAGTGATACCACTCAGCAAGTGCCAGAGAGAGTCTTACCGGAGCAACCAGTCCCAGAATCTTCAGATGATGAAGTAGAGTTTGTGTTTTCGGTCCCTCGACGAAGGAAAAAAAGGCACAGAAGGTATGACAAAGTCCCATGTCAATGAACTCATTCTAAGCAAAGCATTTATTAGGCTTGAGCTTCCATCACAACACACTCATACCAGCTCAGCTAGTCCCATTTTGAGCGCCGGAGTTATAGGTGCTCGTCCATCACCGGAGAAGCTCGCACCTGGTATGGCTCGTTCGCTTGATCACTGCACTGAACCCGATGAGATGAACAGAGCTAGATGCCATTCTGTCAAAGCGATGAATGAAATCGCCACATTTGATACTTTTCCACGTCCATTGAATCTTCCACAGTCAGGGCTACCCGCAATATCTCCTTCGCATCCTTCTCAAAATGTACCGTTCAAAATTCCACCACCTTGGTATGCCAAATCCATACTTCCGCCACTGTCACCAACATCACCGCATCACAATGCAAAATCCACAACTTTCACATCACCAGAGCAAGATCATGGTAAAAAAAGAAAGCATTATAATTCAAGTGAAAATTCAAATCATGTGTCTCCATGCATATCTTCAGCATCTATGTATCTACCAGGACCAAAGGTCTTACCGTCGTCTAATTCAAATTCTAGCCCCCTTTATGGACATACGGGATTTGTGGACTTTTTAGAAGATCCAAATGTGCCAACTACTTTCGGAGGAGTGCCTCTCCCTCTTCCGCCACATCGACCAGTTATACCTGGTTGGCAAGACTTTTCCTGGAAACCATCAGATTACTCACCTCCAAAGCGCGCGCCATCTATTGATCCACGAGCAAGTGTGTTTTCTAACATCAACAACGACCCGAACTGGCACCGCAAATATTACTTTGGTGCCGTTGACCCAAATTTTGTCAACTCGCAAAAAGGTTACATTGGAAACCCCCCAAGCGAGAGATACGTGCAAGAAATGGTGTCACCCAAAACAATACCTCTTACAACTCAAACCGCACTGGCGTCGTATCCTTCAATTCAAACGAAGCTAGTTCCACAATTACGTCACATGCCTACAAAGATGTCTACATCTTCCACAAATACCTGTCCTGTGCAATCTTCGATATCAAATTCTGGGACATACTCTCAACCAACACATCCAGTTACACTAGTGGGACATACTTGTCCTTCTCCATCCCCTCGTCCCCAGGTGACTGCAGCAGATATACGACGCAAACCTTCTCTATATAGAATACCTGCGTGGACACATTCGATAGATAACAACAAAGCTTCACCATCCACAGCTCTCTGTGAACGTCAAAATCAGACCGGCGACACCGAAAGCAACGGTATACTTTCTCCACACATCAGCGCACCTCGACAAGCGAGATCTACTGCTTCCCACACGCCAAATTCTACCTCATCCCCTCTCCAAACTCCGGTCCTACATCTTTCAAGACCAAAAACATTCACGTCCGCGTCTGCATCTTCATCTAAACACTCCCCAAATTTGTAAGTCCCTCTCTTCTCATATCTCATATCTATGTATGAGATCCTTGATTAACATACAACCAGAATCATAGACATAGCCCAAACGAGTCAAGACACATTTCCATTTGCAGAAGTAGCGGCTAGACATAATAAACCCATACAAAAAGTTTTTGATACTTTTTCGGCCATAATACAGTTACCGCTACTAAAACAGGCAGCGGATGGGAGGAGACACGGGCCATTAGGAAGTGAGAGGATGAGGATGTATAGGGAGGCTAAAAGGGCCATGGAGAGGGCGAATAGAGAAAATGAAAGGAAACAGGGACGATGAGCGTGGAGCTGTATACTAGGAAGTCAGGATATGAAACATACGGAGTTGTAGTTCGATTAATGCTTTACTTTACTTCTTTGGTTGTTCATCTGATTTTCAGATGCTATCATCACTTGAGTTTAAACTTGTTCTTATGGACGAACATTTTTAGGCAGATCTCAGCCAAACTATCAATTTAAAAGAAACTCTGATAGGTTTTATCTCAAATCCAACTGCTTCTCGCTTGCGCCTAATTATTGAAAAAACAATATCAATGTGCCCGAACTAATCCATTTCACGAATGAACACTCCATTGTGACTATCAACGTCAATTCCTCACAACAAACTATCTGATATTGGTACAATAACATGAGAAATTACACAGTATATGTATGTATATCATAGGGTATTCCACATGATCCAGATATTCAAGATGAGGAGCATTCATAGTATATCATGCGGATATTTGGTGATATCATGAACTAAGGGTGCAGATGTATTTTTGATTGCTT